CAAAAAATGGATGTCCTCAATAGGCGGGGGTTTGGTTTAAAAATGCAATGGCCCAATTCTATAAAATGTGAAAATTCGGAGAAATTCGAAATGAATGATTATAAACCCCGCCCCCCGGAAGACCCGAAACGCGGGAACGAGCGTGATCGCGTCCTTGATTACAAGTCAACATGGAGTCGAATGCTCAGGGATTTTCTCTGGATTTTCTGCGTTAAAAATCTGTTTTTCCATGCGATCGATGCTTTAATAATATATCGAAGTGTGCATCAAAATGTTCTCTGTAGATGACATAGTTTGGGCGAAATCATCAGTCGCAAGAGAGATTTTCTGGCCTGCAAGGGTAGGGAATTATTGAATGTCAGTATGGTATAAATGTCCGATTTGTTTGAAAGGTTGTAGTGTTTATATCGTTCATAGATAGTCATGATTCAGCAAAGCTTTCGATACGTAAGCCCAGATCTTGATCAGTACAAGGACTTGCGTTTCGAAAGCTTTGCAAAAATTATATCAATTGTACTTTTGTCGCGAAGTAAACCAACTACGAAGCGCATGTTTTGATTTGTACGATTTTTCGGGTTCACGACGCCATTTTACCAAGTGCGGCAAAGAGAATAAACCAACACGTTTTTCTACTGGGACAAGGCAATGTTTTTAGCATTGTGTTTTGCCCCACTTGCAAAATTATGGCGTTGTGAATCCAGAAAAGGTATATAATGTGTTGCAAGAAATCACTGCAAGCCATAATTTACAATCATCCAGAATTTGGAGCCAATTTGACCACTTCACATATATGCTGTCAACGTACAGTGATTTGTGTTAAAATCAAAGCTATGGATACAGAGGGCACTAGTGCTCAATGGTTAATCAGACCATTGCTGCCCATGTGTCTAGTTAACCCATTTAAGTTACATTGCATCCTAATGTGCCTGACTTTAGTATTCCACTCTGTCTAATACCAGATGATTTTACTCATCAAGGGGAGAGTGCTGGTGATATTCTAATGAATTTCAATTTTTAGGTGATAGAGTCGGACAGTGATTTAGAAGATATTAAATACAAAAAGAATAAACCCACGGTTGCTTGTGTCACATTTTTAGCCGAAGGCACTTTGTGAGTCTCGATCTTGTTATATTAGTTTGAAACTGTTCTATATGTAGTAGCATATCATAGGCTTTTCCTTTTGAGAGAACTTTTATAAATAATATATATAATAAAATAATAATAACATAATAAAATTATTAATAATAATAATAAAATAATAATAATCCATTTTACTATATGAACCCATTAAATTGCACACCCTTATCCACCCTACTTCATAATTCTATTCTGTCTAATGCCAGACACTTTTACTCATCAAGGTGAGAGTGCTGGCACTCAATGTGTTAATACTCTATTATTGTGCGAACAGGGCTTGAAGTGAACCAGTTCCTAGGGGTGGGGGGGAGGTGGGGGCTACTAGAGATCACTAAAACTCAGCATGTCTAGGTATTAGAAAAAATGATGCCATCAAGAAGTTAAGAGATGTGTAGTGATGGTTTTTATATGAATCTGAGAAGGTCTATTGGTTAAAGAGAGGAGAGGCTACAGAAACGGGCGTTAAGAATTATCTATCCACATATACATTACAGTAGAGCTCTTGAAGTGTCAAGAATTTCAATGCTTTTTGAAAGAAGAGAAACAATTGCATCTAAGTTTTTTGATGAGATCACCAACCACCCACAACATCGCCTTCATAACTTACTTCCTGTTAGAAACATGAATAATTACTCTTTGAGGAGCACAAGGAAATTTGTACGCCCTTTATGTAAGACCGAGCATTGTTAAAATAGTTTTATTCAAAGCTATAGTTACAGCTTGTAGACATTTTAAACTATTATACAGATTAGATCCATTGACTATATACTATATATTTATCTAATTATCTTTTAGTAATAGACATTTCTTAATTTTATAAAATAGATTTAGCTTAATATCACATTACATGCAAGACTAATGTATTTCAGCTTTATATGGCTGCAAACCTAGTCATTAAAACATCTATCTATCTATCTAAAGATTGCTCTGCTAATCAACAAAAGTTTCTCTTTTGCAGTGAAGCGATTAAAAATTCATCAAATGTTCAACGTTTCAACTGTGATAGAAAGGAAGTTTTTCTCAAAAAAGGTCGAAGTAAGTAGCTGGAGTTTAGAAGCATCTTTCCATTTTCACAACATTTTCTCACCTCCACTCAAAATGTTTAAAATATGTCTTATATTCCAGATCTAAAGAAGCAAGGGAAAAGACTACAATTTGAGTCCGCAGTTAAAGAAGCAGAAAGATATGTAAAATTACATGGTAAAGTTTAGCAACAGTTTTTTATTAATACCTAATCAAATAATGTCTGTTTGCACCTGACATTGCCTGTGGCAACCCATTTCACTCGCATGCAGCTATTTCAATACTTAGTTACCTTGGTTCCATTCTATGCTCACACCCACACACTTACCTAACTCGAGACAACTTTGTTTGAGAAATCTTTCCTGTCTGTCTGTGTAATTTTTGTCAATTACTTTAATACTGGCTACCTCAAAAAGTGTAATCATTTAGAAATACAATATACAAATTCTAAATCTCATCAGTATAGGACTATAGCCTGTGGTTTTCAGTAACACTCTTCTGGAAAGAACATCACCTTGGCTATAGGGCCTTGTTTTTGTGATAGAGATGTTTCAACTTATGTCACATGCACAAAAGCAAGGTTCATCGTTGGGCAAAAGAAATTTGGCGATGGGGGCACAAGATGTCGGGAAAGAGTGGCTGCCCCCCACCTAAAAAATTTAGTCAGCCGTACACCTATGGTTAAGTACTAAAATAAGTGAACAATTTATGTCACACGACTCACACTGATAGTGATAACTGTTCCACTTGAAGCGAAACTATAGACACTTTAATTTTGGCTAGTAACTCCAGCTAACTAAGGGCCTTTCCTTGAAACGTTGAAATTCTCCTTATATTTTTCAGGTAGTTGCATCGCTACCAACGAAAGCTTGTTTTAACATACTTTAATTTAAACCTTTAATTTGAAATGACTTTTTTCAGGAAAACGGAAACGTACCCCAACCAAATACTTTTACTGTACTCCTGATACGAAAAAAGAAGCAAGTTCGCCACAAACTCGACGAAGGGTTTCAGTAGCAACAACATCGATTGTAAATAAAACAGAAACGAAACCAAGCCCCCAGGCAAAGACCAAATGTAGTTTACCAACCATTTTAGAGGAATCAGGCGAAATGTTAGTTAGCAACGTCTCCACGAGCACGGAACAAAACAAAATAGATAATTGTAAAGAAAAAATTGTGACGAAACGGGGTAGGAAAAGGAAAAACATTGAACTGGATTGTGAGAACAAGGATAATAATATGAGTTTAGTAAGTTCTCGGCACAGGACGAGAGGAAGACCTCGGTCAAATAGTTTAAATGAACCGTCTACTAGTAGAACAAGCCATAAAATAGATCCAAAGCTTGAAAATGGCTGCAATTCGAGCTTACAGTCAAATTCAGTGAACAAGGCAACAATTACGAAAGCTACTTGCGAGAATTGTTTAGGAATTGAGTCTACTGACAATGCAGCTTGTGAAAAGACGAATAGGAAAAGATTTAGTTTTAAAAGTAACATAAAAGAATGCTTGCGAAAGAAATTTAAAAGTTCTTCTAAAGGGAAACCAGAGTCTAGTACTGTTTGCAAAACAGACAGTAAAATTAAGCAGAACGATAATTTAGAAACAATTTCTGAAGAATGTGAATCTAAAAGAGACGGAATGATGCTTAAATGGGCTGGGAATGAAAATGGAAATAGCGAAACGGATGGAAAAGACAGTACGGCGTTTAGAAAAGAAACGAAGAGGCCACGAATAGCTTTATGCGAAGACGGAAGAGAAAATGAGGCGCCATTACCCAACAACAAGTCCGGATTAAAGAAACAGAATTCTTCCCGCCAAAACACGACTATGGACGGTAGCGAAAGCTCATTTTCCAAAAACAATGAAATTAGGAAAGCAGCTGACAGTAGTACTAAAGCAAAGCAATCTTTAGACGCTTGTTTGGAAAGTTTAAACGCTCCTTCTTATAGGAATGCTAATGGTTTGGGACATTCAGAATTAGACGGCATTCAACCAAGAGTTAGTTGTGATGATAGCGGTCTTGCTTGTGACAAAACAGCAGACATGCTTCGGTGTAATGAAAATGAAAATAAATTTGAAAGTTTTGTGGAAAAAGGAGAAAATGCTGATGTAAAAGACAAGGAAAGTGATGAAGAAGGTTTGGATTTTACATTTTTACTGTTCCGTCATTGAAATGTACAAAAGGTTGCCGCGAAGAACAAATGACGAAAACTGTTCTGTATGTGAAGTGCACAGATCTATATATATTGACAGTTTTGGTTTTCTCTTGCAGACAACGCGAAAGATGACTGCAGTTCTGACGACGAGTCTTTGCCAGAAGCTTTCTCTTTTTCGCCCGGTAAGGTGAACACGATTTGTATTTCAGGATTTCTCAGAATCTTTATACTTTATAGAAATCACCATTGCTCATTTTAAAGTCCTATGAACAACAGTTGATTGTAACTTTTCATCCTATAGTAACACTGGACACCCTTTATAGCCCATTTCCACTCAAGAAAAATTTCCACGGACAGAAAACTCCGAAAATATCATTGTTAAAAGTTGACCGAAAATTTATGTGGGCCACCACTGGCTCGCATTTTACAATTTTTTCTGCGGAAAATTTTCCTGAGTGGGCATTGGCCTGTACTGGACCTCTAAGGAGATAAGTTTGAAAACGGACAGAGCTGTGTCAGTAATACTATATAAACTTTTTATTTTAAGGTACGAAGACAAATTTTCGGCCTGGTGACGTCGTTTGGGTTAAACACCAGAAAGATCCGTTTTGGCCTGCACAGGTTTGAACTCCACAATGTTTGGCCTGATATTTAGTATTGCGTTCTATTCATGATTTTCAGAGAGAAATTGACGCAGGTTTTCTTTATGTTATTGTTTAAGATTAACAGAGAAGCAAGTAGCAACAAAAAGACTCATGTCTACGTGAAATTTCTGCCTAAATCTGACCGCAGAGGGTAGGTGAAAATATCGTGAGAATGTTTTGCTAGCAATGTTTTGTTATCCCTTGCACGTTAATCGCAAGTCCGTTGTTTTAGTATCAAAGTTCCCAAGAAGAATGTCAAGTTGTTTACTGAAGATCATGAAACCTTTCTACGTTACAAGGTTAGGGATTTGTCAATGAAATACAATAAAATGGACATCATAAAACAATAGAATACCATAGAACACGACAGAATGGAATACAATAGATTAGGATAGATTAGAATAGAATATAATACAATGCAATAGAATACAATGCAATAGAATACAATACAATACAGTCTTAAGTACAATAGCTATAAGTCGCCTTAACAATTTCAGAATCAAGAAGTAGACCCGTCCTCTCTCAAAGAATTCAATGAAGCCGTAGAGCAAGGGGAAAAAATTCTAGTGAGACGTGGTAAGTGTATCGTTGAGTAAGACCAGAATTCCTCGCGAGCTTGATAGCCTTGTAACGTCATTATGCATAAGGTCCATTGTCAGTCTGTCATCTTACTGTGCTATAATATTTTAGTATTTCCAGACCAAGTTTCTGATGTCAGTGACGACGATGGGCTACCATCGCCAAGCAACGATAAACAGGATAAACCAGTTGTTGAAGCAGACAAACCGGCTGATGAAAAACCAGAAGATGGCGAAAGCGGATTTGATAGCTCGGAGACAGAAAATTTGGAAGTGGCGGGAAATGGCCGAACTCCGAGGAAAAGAAAGTGAGGAAATAGATATAAGTCAAGAAATGTACCTCAATAAATGTACCTTATCAAAGCAGTTTAAACGAGTGTAAAGCATGCAAGAACATAATTATATTATCTTGAGTTGTTTTTCAAATTGCACCGTATTAGTTGCAGCTTGTGACATTATTATCTATTCAAATATCATTTTAGGCAAGTAACGCGATATAGCAATATATTGAAAGAGCTTCACTGGTGTAAGGTTAGTATGTACTACTTAAAACACAAGCAGGAGTGTTTTAAATGGCTTAAAAAACGACCCATCTGATGAGTTCATTGGCGGAGTACAGTAATTTTAAAAATAAGCGTTTTCTAAGCCGAGAAAATCAAAGCTAAAGTTTATGCAAATAACATGATTTTTATCCTTTGTCTTTTCCTTATGAGTTATTAATGATTTTTTAAAATAATATTTGTGAAACTCGTTAAAATTCATGAAGAAAACGCAAAAGAAATCATGAGCGTGAAGGAGTTTGTATATCTGATACAAAATCAATGCTGATTTACGTAAACTTTAAGTTTAATTTTCATAAACTTCAAGTTTAATTGTTGAAGAATACGAATGTTCTCATCGAGACGTTTCACAAGCTATATAAAGCATTCACGTCCGAGTTGTATCAGATTAATATGATTTTTTTGAAAGTTCTGAGTTGTCACAAAGTACTAAATTATTATTAATCTTTGACCTATATTTTGCTGCAGCAAAGACTGTTGGATATTTATCGAGAGAAGTTTGCTTCAACCCGTCATAAAACGTTCAAATATGGCACAGTCACTGAGAAAAACAGTTTAAAACACAGAGCAGGTTTTGGTCCTATACAAGACGAGGAAACTGTAAGCTTTCTCGAATTAATTGTTTTAACTACCTGAAAAAGATCGTCTGAAAAAGAGCGTTATAGACATGCAGAGTGAAATAATAAAGTATGCCGGTTGTCCGAAAGCTTTATAGCCACGCCACGGTTTTATAGCATTTGATTAGAAAAGCACATTGGGCTAAGCGTTCTGTATCTGAGGGATGAAATGCTAATGTCTTCTTACACTAATTATTTCTGTAGTGTGAGGCAATCATAAAGTTACTGAAATCTTGGTATGACGTAGAAACGAAAGACTTTTCTGTAACAATTGATTATATCTGTGATGTTTGGTTACCAGAGGTTTGTTGCATGGTTATTGCTTTATTTGTGGTTCACGTAGTGTGTGCAGCTTTTAACTAAACTAATTTTGTAACTTTTTGTTAACATTGGATAATTCTTTCGGGTCTAAACTTTTCTTCCTAGAGATCCAGTAAAGAGGGATGGTGTGCCTTTCTATTCGTTCAGTGTTACTACATGCAGGAGGAAACTTCACCAAACTAACTTTATTTATACTGGCTAGCTCTATAAGTTCTAAACTGTTCTCCCTAGAAATCCAGAAAAGATCATCTCTTATTGATCCAGTGTTACAACAGGAGGAAACCTCAACCAAACTAACTTTATTTATACTGGATAGCTCAATCAGTTCTAAACTGTTGTACCTGCATGGTATTTTTCAGGCGATGATATACTACATTCAAATCAACGACAGTCTGTCAGCTGAAGCAGCTGAGAAGATGTACTTGGATCAGGCAAGGCATGTAGACAAGCAAGATGTCGAAGAAACCAGAAGTTGGCTGAAGAACAAGAAAATTGATAAAGCCACTATGGAGGAAACTATTGAGAGAGCAAAACAGAAATTACTTTATGCGCTTTCAACTTGAACTTGGAAGGGAATAGTTTAATTGTTTGGTTTGGCTTCAGATGGTAATGAACTTGCAGAGATGTTGACACTTGTTATATTTACCACCAACAAAATGAAAGTCGATTTCTCAATTTTCAAAGTTGACACCAAATGGAAGTGATGGAATTGAGAGATGCATGCTTACTCTCGTGCTTTTATAAATTTCAACATTTCCGTAGTTGGAATCGCAAATATCAGAACTGGAATCCCATGCAGCGTGTGAAAATATTTTATGGCTTATATTAAGCCATTGGCGAAGCTAACCATAGCAACAGGTCATGCTATGCACATATTTAACTATTTGTATTACCCAAACCTTTAGAAATGTGTCGTCTTTAACCTATATAAATGCAGGTTTTTTAGCATAGCATGACCAGTTGCAATGACTGGCTCGCCACTGTATTAAGCTTTTCGTTGATGACATATTTTTGCCGCCACGTACGAAAAATCTTAATGATAAACCAAGCTTCGTAGATGACGAAGGATAATAGACTTTTGTGTTATATGAACAGATTTAAAGTTTATATGCTTGAGGGTTTTTCCTCTCCCCCAAGTAAATGTGCCAACTGAAATGTTAACAAATACTTTTTTATTAATATATTTTTTTGTCTTCACCTCACTTGGTGTAGGTTAATTAGTTTTGAATATCTTTGTTCAGATGTATTGGTTTAGTAACTTTAGTTTTGGTGTAAACGTGTCGCAAACGAAAGATTTTTTTGACCCGCCCCGCCCGAATAGCTGGGCTAGACCGCCTCATATCAATCTTGTCCCCAGGAACGTAGAGGAAAGATTCTGGGAACAAGGTTGGCCCAGTTGGCCTCGTATAAACGGCCAATTGCCGGAAGCCAGGAATCCTGGCTAAGATTGAATACGCATCCATTTCAACGGCCAATCAGATTCCTCCCTGAAACGGATTATCCCAGAGCCTCGCGTTCCTTCCCGAGGATCGCAGGCTCGGGGAACGAGATTGATAAACGGCAATATACAGCCCCAACACAGTGCCATCCATTGTTCTCCAAGCCATCCCGTTGCGATCAAGTGATTGGAATGTTCTATTGTCTTTTCATTGTTTTGACAATACTATTGTTTTCAATGACGTCACAGTGATGATGTAACTGATGACGTTATGTAATAACTTCATGAATCGAAATTCTGTTTAGATATTACATCTTGGGTTAGCTGTGGCACAGAATTGCGCCCAAGGTTAAAGCATCCAGCGCTTTTCCTTTTTAAAACGATGGCGTAACGTTCTAGCGCATTGAGCACTAAAAATATCAATTTAATTTTCTTGCTGAAATTCGTTCACTAAATTGCGTTTTACAGCTCAGGATTTTGAAAAAGAGACTATTTATTCTATATTATTGATTAAAAGACATCTACTCTTCACTCCTACAGCCTGAAATATAGCAAAAGTGGAAAGATTAGCTAAATATCGCAGATTGTTTAGGGCGTGTGTCGATTGGCAGTGTTGTCAAAATTTATACTTTCTGGAAAGTTTCAGTTTGCTCGGCGCGTTCCTGTGGTAGCATAAGGTACGAGAGTGAAAATAACTCTTGATGAAATGTTGTATAGTGTAGGTTTATCTACAGAATGTCTTTATTTAAGCTCATAAAATCATGTTTGTAGTTTTAATAGTCAATTATCATGTTTGTAGTTCAGTAAATTCTGTATTTTTATAGACCTTCTGTATTTTTATCATGTTACTATGTTGTGATTGAATTTGAATTTGTTAAGTTTTGCCAGAATTACAATACACACTACACATATGAATATTACAAAATACAAAACATTACAAATGACAGGAGTTTGATACAGGACACATGTCCGTAGCTATTCTATCCCTTATTTATGTTTTATTATTTTATACTTGCTCTTTAAACTTATATATACATTTATGGTAATGATTTATAAACTGTATGTTACATTACCATTCGTCACCATCATTGCTACACAGACTGAAGAGCGAAAGCTAAAAGTCTAGGGACAAAGCCGCACAGGCACAAAACAGTTTCGAAGAGCACATCAAGAGACAGTCAGGGTTACCAGATAGGTATTAAACACAATGAAATTTGGAGATCTTGGGAGATTTGAGTGCGAAAATTGTTTATATCAAGCACGTCCCAGAGGTGCTAAAACTTTTCCCTAAAAAAATCATGGGGGCGACTCTGACCTACTCTGCTGTCTGGATTGCTCCATCATCACCACCACTACTATCATAATTTAATCTGCAGATAAAGCATGGCTTCATCTCCGAACAACAAGGACCCTCCTCATGTTAGCCTTCATCGCCGATCACAACCAAACGGGAGCATTCAGAAATACAGACCTTGGCGATTTATGCATGCCGTCAACTTACCATTAAGCCAGGAAGGCGATAGACGTCAGTCGTTGCCTGCCAAAATGTCCCAGAATCCCCCATCTGTATCAAAGGCCAAACAGGGACGGAAACGTAGAGTGTCAGAGTCTACACCAGGATGGAACCCTATTGCGAAAAAGAAACGACCGAGATCTGAGGGAGACATGAGTACAGCAAGGGCGTTGCGGTTTAGTCCATACGCCGGTTCAACACAACCTGCACCAAAGAGTGAAGAACGGAGTTTAGAAAGGGTAAAGTTGATCAGTATTCATTTTGGAATTAGAGTGACCATATTATAAACATCATTATCACCATTTCAACAGTATTACCTTCAATGTTATTACCAATGTCAGCACCATCGGTCCACCATCACCAAACCATCATCACTACCACCATCACTACTACCACCACCACCACCATCATTACCATCATCACCATCATCACTACTATCATCATCACCACCACTACCATTATCATCACAACCACCACCATCGTCATACTACCACCACTACCATCATCATCATCATCATCACCACCATCATCATCACCACTACTACCACCATCATCATTACTACCACCACTACCACCATCATCATCACCACCATCACTACTACCATCATCATCATCATCACCATCATCATCACTACTACCATCATCACCACCACTACCACCATCATCACAACCACTACCACCATCATCACAACCACCACCATAATCATTACTACCACCACTACCACCACTGCCACCATCATTACCACCACTACCACCATCATTACCACCACTACCACCATCATCATCACGACCACTACAACCACCATTACAACCACCACCATCATCATTACTACCTCCACTACCACCATCATTATTACCACCATCATCATCACAACCACTACAACCACCATTACAACCACCACATCATCATTACTACCACCACCACCATCATCACCATCATCATCATCACCACTACCACCATCACCACTACCACCATCATCACCACCCTCACCATTGTACCTAATAATCATTAATAATTGCATATTTCAGCTAACGCAACAAATCTTGGACGACTACTTCGCCACAAGACAAGCACCACAACGTTATGAACAAAAACTTCACTTGAGAGATTACTTGTTGTCTATTTTTAGAACAGCCTTTCCAGGTAATATTAAGAATATTCTGCCTGTCATTAGTCTCCCTTGCAGTTGGCAATAGACAATTCTCATTATAGACTAATTTTAAAACTAGGCAAGGAGATGCACATAAATCACCACAGCTAGAAAGAGCAAACTAGAATAAGTAAAATTGCAAAGTTTCGTTGCGAAATGTTGTAAAATGCGGAAAATATAGCCTTGCAAAGTTCGCAAATTTTGTATACTTTTGTATTGCGTGCGAAAATTCCTACCACATTTGGGCCGAAAATGGTAGCAATTTCCGCACGCAATACAAAAGTATACAAAAATCTATATTTTCCGCATTTTATAACATTTCGCAACAAACTTTGCAATTTTACTAAATTTTAGTATGCTCTTCCTAGCTGTGGTGATTTATTTCCATTTCCTTGCCTAGTTTTAAAATTAATCTATAATGGGAATTGTCTATTGTGTTATGCCAGCTGTCACGGATGGAATGAAAGCCAGACTTATTGATTGTACTTCTCTTCAGGTTGTTCGTTACATATATGTGGTTCAACGTGCAATGGCTTAGCAACAAATGAGAGCGATGTAGACTTGTGTTTACTACTTACTGAAACGAGAAAGGTTTGAAGCATTCGTTCACAGTATCTGTCTAGTTTTCTGTTTGTGGAAAATCAGAGGTGTAACTTAACACTTGCCCGGGGCAAGTGAATATCATGATGGGCAAGTGAACGTTTTATCTTATAGTGCATTTGTGGGCCACAGCTAGATCTAAGGCAGTATAACTTGGCCATATAGAGCAGTGGGAGAACGGGTCGACATGTTGTCCCCTCAATCTATACCCCCTATCTAGTTACCCCAGTGGCCATGTCTGATAGCAAGTGAATTTTATTCAGGGCAACTAATTTTCATGTCCAACTTGCCCTGAAGGCAAAGTTACACCACTGAAAATACCTCGTTTACTGATTGAGTAAAGAGGTGTTTTCTGAAACAAAAAAAGAATTATTAATATTGAAGTATTGATTGTTGTGCAAACCTGTTTGTGAAAGATCTGTTCGTGTTATTGTTTTCAGATTGATCAAAAATTTGAAGCACGAAGGATACTTCATCAACTAAACATGATGTTGAAACGATCAGGTGAGGTTTCATTGATTGCGCCCAGTTATTATACATTGAGATCCTTTGGCCAAATCAGAAATTACTTTAGGGTGTGCATTCAATTTGTTGAACCTGTATAATTGTTGAATCACAAATATATTAGTAATTTGTTTCGTTAATGCTGTTGAAGATAATGCTGTTGAACCTGAACTAATTTGTTGAACTGGTTTATCAAACCTATCTTCTTTTCACAGCGTACATTCAAAGATGTCATGTGATTCATGCCAAAGTACCGATCCTAAAGTTCAGAGATTCTAAAAGGTGAGGCTTCTGACCTACCTCCATACAAAATCTGTCAAAAAAATTTCCGGGCAATAAAAACTGGAATGCCTAAAATGAGTTACTGACAACTATTGTGTTTTTGTGTTTCAGTGGATGCGACTGCGATGTGAATATCAATAATACTGTTGTAAGTTGAAATGTTAAACTTACATAAACATCCAAATTAAATGTTGTCAGTAGATTTTGTGAATTGAAAGACGAATTTTTTGTAGGGTATCAAAAACACGCACTTATTACAAGGCTATTGTGGATGTAAGTAGATGTTGTACGTATGATATTTTGTCTATACAATATTGCTGGGTGTCAATAAGTGTTACAGTACAAGGCAACAAATGAATTTCACAAATGATATTTTATATTTCAGACGACTGGAGAGTGTCGCCGTTAATAATGATAGTTAAGAAATGGGCAAAAAGGCACGGGATTAATGATGCAAGTCAGGGCACGTTGTCTAGTTATTCCATTGCCATGATGGTATTACATTATTTACAAGGTAAGTTAGAAAAGTTGCAAGATTTAATTAATTAATAAACAGTAGTTTTATAATTTTCGCATTTTTAATTTGTTCTTGTAGAACCATGTCAGCCACCTGTTGTTCCTAGCCTTCAAATGGCTTATCCAGTAAGTATGGACCTCTATGTTTGACATATCAGCCTACTACTCTCTCGCTGCCTTAATACACATTTGATTTGTCAATGATTTATTGGGCAATTCCAGCTATAGATCAAATTTTGATTTAGGCAAGAAGAACAAAATCCATCATCACAGCTAGAAAGAGCATGTTAAAATTGGTAAAATTGCAAAGTTTTGTTGCGAAATGTTGTAAAATGAGGAAATATAG